CGAAGCAGATTTTCACCGTATTTTTCCTTTGATCCTAAGGAACCTCTTCATCCGTGCGAGGGGCTGCATGGTTGCCACCAGCTGCTCTCGTTCCAGACCATGGAGCTGTCAATTTGTGGACGTGTCCATTTTGCCGAAACCGTCCCACCGAGGTGTCGATCGATACCGTAGTTACCCAAAGACGGTAGAAGGGGTGAGTAAGCATTGTTGTCACGATCGCTCGTCGATTTGTAGTCTGCAAACATAGGCTTAGGTAGTCAAGGCAGCGCGTCGGTAGGAGAGAGGTTTGGTGGAAGCATTGAGGCGTGGTCGGATGAAGTGCGATTGCCAAGACATTTCTTGCTTCCATCGCCGAAGGCGTCCACAGGTTGACACACATCGTGTGAACCTGTTTTGCCTTCTATTTGGCCCGCGCTTTGTCGGACAAGTGGTAGGCGCAGCGGGCGTTGTTGGGCCCGCAGGCGAGTAGCTGATTCGAAATTTGAAATGGGAGCCCATCGAGTACCACTTGCGAAGAGATGACGTCACGAGCAGCGGTGAGGACGATCGGGTGGATGTGGTAGATGACTCCGTCCATGGCGCAAAACACCGATTTGTAAAGATGGAACTTGACGATGTCATTGGAGACCATGGTGCGGAAGATGAAGGGGAGATCGTCATGGACGGGGAAGGATTCCGGAGGCGCGCAGTAGAAGTCAAGAACTTTGGCTACTTGGCGGTGGAAGCGGGGAGGCCGTGTTCGTCTGGCGATCCAGAAGAACCACGGGGGATACTAGTGGCCAGCGGCCTAACAACCGGCAGCGATAATCTACCAGAGAGACGGTTTTGAAATTGCGTGCATCGGGATGGTCGGCGAAGTCGATGGAGATGATGCACATTCGCGGCCGCCCTTTGCGGCCTCCATGCTCGCTCTTCGCTCTCCACGGACAGCGTCGTGAGACGACACCGCCATCACCGCGGCGATCATGGCGGAGGAGCTACGCCGGTGTCCTCCGTAGCTTCGCCGTGGCTTCGAGCTCTTTATCCCGAGTAGCGAGCTGCGCGAGCTTAGCCCAATCTTCGCACGGTCTTTCGTCGAACGGTTGGCGGCGCGCGAGATTGGGAGGACCATGTTCGCTTGCACCGACGGCGAGATCCGTGTCTCCACCGGGCGGTGTTGCCCGTCGTTTGTTGTCCAACGTGAGCGGCGGTGTGTCCGAAACACCTCCCCGGGGGGTCGGCAGCAGATCCATGGGGGCGGAGTGGAGTGGAGGAGGAGGAGCGGGCGGAGGGGAAGAAGGGAGTGTGGCTGTGGGGGCGAGGAGCGAGGGTGACAGGGTACCGAAGCATAGTGGCTGAGGGATGGCGTGGAGGGTGGCAGCCGCCCCTGACGGCGGGTGGCCGCTGGCGAGCGCCGGTCGGGAGTTCCGGCGGCGCTGGTGGTGGTGGCGTGGGGGGAGCGGGGGGAGGGGGGGCATGGCGAGCCCAGCCGGTTCTGAATTGAAATTGAATTGAGCCGTGAATTAACCGAGGTGCATGCAGGCTCTGAATTTCGGGCGTGGCGGAAGGATGTACTGAGGCCGGACAGGACGACCGATATGACGCCGCCGCCGGCGCCCAAGGCCAACAACAACGTCCCTGGAGGGCCCTTCGGTCGTTGACTGATTCAGATCGAGTCGCCTCGCCCAATCGCCATCTTTTCAGGACATATCGAGATACGAGGATAGCAATTCCCATTTCGGATTGGTACTCCTTGTTTCCTAGGTCCATGCTGTGTGTTATTTTTCTTCTTCATTCATTTTTCTGCTTCTTTTAACGATGAAGAACTACTGGTGATTGAAATACAAAATTAAGAACAATGCATTATGGATTCTGTTCAATAGCATTTCACATATTGGTATTTATTCCTTGTTTCATAGCTACAAGGATTTATGTTGCTGCAAAGTACAGCTTGCATGCAAAAGAACAATGCATTATATATGTGTTTTTCCGCATAATATATGGATTTTTGTATTCGTGTGGATACAAGTGCTGTTCGCTGGTCAATTTCTTTTCGGCTCATAAATTAATTGATGGTCCGGTAATTATTTTCCTTCATCTCGTTATAAATGCACTCATCCATGGGTTCTATACACGGTCCATTTGTCTTGTTCCAAAATGCACTACGAATATTTTATCTCCAAGTCTATCTGCCCCATGACCTTTGAGACGAGATTCCGATCTAGGCAGTGTTTCCAAGCCAAGACCTTTTCCACAACACTTGACCCAACAAATAACACGTAGCCACCATGATTTATCTATTTAATTTTAATATACATGTGGAATCTGCCGTTAATCAACGATCACGTATGGACCAGTACATGGATCAATCACACAAATAAACCTCTATCCCTACTAGTACTATATCTATATATGTCCTAATATTAAAAGGAGATAATTTCTTTCTCTAATTTTTGGTCTGCCGCTCCCTCGCATTCGGTCTGTATGCCCCTCGACTCTCCCGAGTATAAAGGTCATGTGTATTTTTCATGATCCGAACTCAAGACCTGTACTTATACGAGTTAGACTAGCCCGCGTCCATCCACGATACAAAGCTTGATTTTAAAAACATATCATAACAGATAACATAAGTTCTATGTTACAACATGTGGGTATATTTGCTATTTCTGAAAAAACTAAGTGGCTTGGCTTTCATCCGTTGTACACATTTTGTGAAGCCGGAAGGTGACCGGCCCCACACAAAGTTACTCCATTGTACTCCACACAACCACTACTGTTAATTTTTTTTAAAAAAGGCTGCTTGTGCAAGCGAGCTCGCCCAAACAACCATGAACTTGAGGGCTCGAATGGCACCACTCTTTGAGTTGACCTCACCATGCTCTTGCCTTGCTACACCGCAATGGAACTCACCACCAACCAAAATGAGCTCCTCCACGTGTGATCCACTCTCGTACGTGCGGCCATGCTAGATGGCTGGGCTAGAAATAGCCTGGCTCTGGAGGTTGTCCCAGCCAACTAGAAGAAATTAATGTCTTCCTCTTATTTGGTTGCATGGTAAAAGGCTTTGGGCCGACTTAAGTCACGGTTTTTGCCTTTTCCTTATTTATTCAATGTGTTCCTCACTATTTTATAGATTCATTGCACTGTTTATAATTATTGCAAGTAAAAATTTTATGAGTTTGCTAGCATATATGTTGAAATTCATTAAGTGCAATGAAAAAAAGAAGTAACAAAAAAACTATGTAAGTTTCAAAAGAAAATAAGACAATTAGTATTTTACCATAGCAACACATGGACATTATACTAGTCATGCTAGTGTATGCATGGTTGATCATGTTAAAAATTGTGAGTACCTACCTTTCATGTCAGAGCCCTAATTATAACTAGCATGTTCATTATCTGCTCATGGGAACCACCACCACAATTGCATTACAAGGTGAAGGTCAACAGTAAATCAGTAATATATGCAATTGGACTCTATTTATCTACCTAGAGATGTCAGATTGCACCTCACCTAGTTAGACTGGTCAGCACACTACAAGAGATTCAATCGTCTATGATGATAAGTAATCATCATAAAAAAAACACATTATTTCATCATAAAAAAAGTATTGATGACATACTTCACGTGTCACAACAATTGTTTTGGAATTGTCATCATAGAATGCTCTTAGTGACGTTATTTAGAAAATCATCACAAAGTAGAACTCATTTGTGAAAAATTGTTTATCATCATAGAATTGATTTTTATGGTGATTTATTTCATCATAGAATGTATTTTATGACGATATTTTTTTTATCATGCAATGTAGGCCAAAATGTCACAAAGAGTCTACAGGCATAGCTAATATATGACAAAAATGTCTCAAAACTTTTACCCAAATTATGTATTTCAGAGTAGCTTAGGTGTAATGATACATTTTACCAAAGGTGACAAATAAAATAGTCGCAAACAATACGAACATGTGTTAGATAATCATCATAAAGTGCTCCATCAAAGCATGGAACAGTAAATGGTATTTAGTTGTACAACACATTCCATTAACAACTATTGACTATCCAACTACGTTGGGCGTAGGGTTAATACTAAGATGATGGGCTCAAAGTAGGCACCACAAACCTCAATTGTGTTGGTGTCAGTGTTGGTGTGTGTGTGGGGAGGGGAAGTTGAGCTCCCATGGCGAGATAAGGGGCTTTAATTTCTTGGGGCCTACAGCCACGCCGGGAGGGGAGGCAAGTGGCATCAAGTTAAGATATCGACAAAGGACAATCATGTGAGCGAGCATATGGGAAGAAAGATCAAGCTTCATATAGTGCATCTGGGTTGTAACCTATTCTCCACATGCTGTCGTTATTTGCCAAAGGAACAACAATGTCACTCAGATGGTCTCTCTAATGTTAAAATGTCTATGTCAAGGAATCTAATTCTAGTTATATATGACTTGTCTAATGGTCTCCAACTTATTTGCACGTTCCTTTTTTTAAACCATGTGCTATCCTTTGTCCTCTAAGGGCAATTGCAACACCAAAAACAATTTTCTCTTTACAGAGATGTCCACATAGGATATAGTAAGCAGTATAGATCATTTGACCAACAATACACCTAAAACACAATTTCCTAAAGTGGTCCCCATGGTTAAGTGCTTTTTTAAATATACACAATCTTCTTCCTCTAGATCCTGCCACCGGTAAGAAGTTGCTGATAGTATAGAGGCTCGTTGTCAACTTGCTTGGTCGTTGCATGAAAAATGCCACATAATCAGGAGGAGCAGACTGCATGGTAGGAGTAGAATCGATCTGCTGTGGATTGGGATGCATGCGGAATATATGGGCGGCACTGGTGGCCGGCCTCTTGCAGTGGGGCTCAGGACTTGGGTGCCATGTTAATGCTACGGGGGTGTTTGGTATGACTCCATGAGCAGCTGAGCTATTTTTTCGTCTCGACAACCAAGCGGCATCCGAGAAAACTGTGTCCCACATGGATCTCCGTGAATCGCACTGATTGGAGCCGCTTCGAGAAGATGGAGCCCAAAAAACCAGCTTCGCCTACTCCGAGCCTCGCCAACCTTCGTCCTTGTGGGGCCAATCCTGAAATGCCCCTCCGTGTCGATGGCAGCGTAGTGCAGGCGCGGGATGCGACGGCGACGGAAGCACAGGCACAGCAGCGACGGTGAGGCGAACCGCGGCCACGACCGCGACGACGAGGCGGCGCTCAGTTTATTTTCACATATAGTACTGCAGCATGGGTTAGCAATCAATTAATTGATGAATTCCATGGCTTCCAGCAAACTTCACAGAAATGACAAACACAGCCCACAACCACCTCAAACAGGAACGTAACCACTATGCTGTGGCAGTGTAACTCAAGTCATTACTTCAATAAAATGGGGGGAAATCATCATGTCATCAATGATAGGAGCAGCAATGTAGCTATAAAGTAGCAGGAATTGACAAACAATACACAACTGCTGTGTAGGCAAATACGCCTACTGCGGTTCATCTAAAGTCTCCTCCATTAAAGCACAGGTTCACCTGATACAAATAGTTTTCACATGTTTGATCCTAAGGTGTATTGTTACGGTACACACCAAAAGGTAGGCTCACACTAGCAGTTAATCTTCACTGCAATCTTTATGGATTGAGCAACTTAAAAGAGAGATCAACATCTGTGCAAGTAGTTCATTAGCTTGGACTAATATGAGCACTTCGGTTCAGCAATTGGTCAACACTAAGAGACATATATATTGGCGCACTTATGAGCACTTTGCATCCTTATAATCCTTTATAACCTCTAAAGCGAGCACTACCACCAACAAACGAACATTACTACACTACCAACCATCGTTCTACCATTGGCACGGGTAATTAAATAAGGAATTTAGGAACCACATAATTCCAAAGCAGGTTATTGTCGGGAGTTTAAGCTCAAAATCCATACATTGTTTCAGTTGAGCTGGTTAATGTTGAGAAATTTTGCTACCTAGCTAAGCCTGCACCTTTCATTTATTCTTGTTGACACAAGATCTCAACAATTATGTTGTTTACAAGTTTATGGTGCTAGTACCTCTAGTAGTATCTACTAGAGTTCACAGAGTCCTTTCCTCAAGAATTATGTGAAGGATAATTTGAGAAATAAGATAGAGAATCAATATTTGAATACCTGATTGCCTGATTGGGCCTTGGTTTGGGGAGCCTATACGGTGGCTGCCCAACTCAACACTAAGGACCAGCCTATATTTACCCACGGAGTGTAAAAGCTGAATAGGACGAAATAAAATCGATGGTTTTACTAGAGATTCCCTTGCTTTGTTGTTCTTTTTATGGTTTATTATATGACTTGTCAGGTTTCCAACTGCTACTTATATATCCACATTCCACGACTATATTACCTTACCTTTTATATTAGTATGTAGGCATAAATGAAACAAAATGTCATATTTATTGTATTAAGATGCATGATGCACTCGGTTTTCGTCCAACTCTTTGCTTGTTGAGCTTCTGCCACTTGGAACAAGGTCAGTAATTGGCCAAGTTGGTTGGTGATGAACACTACGTGAAAAACGGTTTGTAGCAACGGGACAAATTTTTTGTAGGGGCGGCTGGTGATGGAGCCACCCCTACAGTGGCATGCTCGGGAGCCACTAGACCAGCCACCCCTACAAATGGCACAGTATGGGTGGCTAATAATACGAGCCGCCCCTACAAATATGGTCGATTTGTAGGGGCGGCTCACTCACCAGCCGCCCCTGGTGTTACGATTTGTAGGGGCGGCTCAATCAGCAGCCGCCCCTACAAATCACCTGTACAACAAATATCTCCCACCTCTCCCCCTACTCATCGGGAAAAAGAAAAAAAAAACAGGTTACCTCTCGCTCGCCTCGCCGCCACCGCCGACTGCGCTCCTGCCCGTACACCACCACCCCAGGTCCCCCGCCCGTTGCCTCCTCCAGGAAGTCCGCCGCCGCTCGCCCCGTCGCGTCCCCGCGCCACTCCGAATACTTCGACCCCCGGGCCCCGCCGCCGCCGCGCGGAGACGGCGGGTACGGGCGCGCCCCCAACGGCGCGCAGGACGGGAGGGTCTTCACCAGCTACAGCATCTACAAGGGCAAGGCCGCACTCTCATTCGACCCCAGTCCGCACATCTCGTCCGCTCCATGAAACCCTAGGTGCGTCCCTCGACCCCCATTTGGATCTCTCTGATCTCGTGGATCTAGGGTTCTTTGGTGATTTGGTCTTGGGGGTGGGGCTTCGTAGTTGTGTTCGTTGTGGTCCGGGCTCGAGATTGGTTTAGGGTTTTTATCTCCTCTGTCGTTGTGGTCCGTATGTCTAGTCTTTGGGTGAGAGACTTTAATCTAGTGTTAACTGAATGATTATAATGTCCTTACTCCCTGATTCACCGAACAATGGATTACTTGCATAGCTGTTGGTGGCAAATTACTTATTGTTGATTCGTTGTAAAGAGTTTGCCAAACTTATAACTAATTTAGTGTTCTGTATTTTTTCGTACCAGACCATCCTGCAATCCTTCCTGGATTTTGGGGAGGCGGTCTTGCACGATGCTGATGGTAGCTTGAAAACCTTCTTCCGCTCTTGCTTAAGTAGGTAATGTTGTTTTCTATGTTTTTCTCTTGATCTGTATACCATCGTTGGATTGCTACCACAAGCATCTAAGATACTCAACTTTTTTTCTTGTAAATAGGGAGTTTGCAGATCCTATTGTTGCAGAGCGCACGGTTGAATTCCTTGTAACAAACAAGACAAAGATCCTTAGCTCCTTTCCCAATTTGATTCCACAGGTGCCAACACTTCAAATGTTTACTTACTTGGAACTGGCAAATTCCACATGTAGCTCCTATTATTCATGTTGTTGCAGACCACTGCTTTGAAAGATATAAATCCAGCTTCATTGTTTGTTTTATAGCATATGTATTAATCTTTTATGAGAATGGCGGGGGAGGCCCCTACATGTATTTCTTCATTAACATAAGAAATAATTACAATACAGGAGGCGTAAGCCAAAATGGTAGAGAAAAAACAGAAAAACCCATATTTCTATGATAAGCTACTCAACCAACTATTGTAAGATTCTTTATAGAATATTTCTCTCTTCTCTTCCTATTTTCCAAATTCGACTTAATCATGTTAGCACATGCCAATGCTTGTGTATTCTTGTTTATACACAGTTCTATCCATTGTTGTTAAAGCTTATTGCATCAAATGGTGAGAGGTATGTGCTCTTATTGTCATGAACTTAGCCTATATCTGTCATCTATGTTTCCTTTAAATGACTTGGTACTGGTAGCATAAATATTCAATAGCAATCCTGTTGAACTACCTAATTTGTTTGCTAACATTCTAGACTGGAGAATAAGTTTGCGGAAGTACTTCCGTTAATGATGCCAGCAGGATCTTTTCTTCCTCTGTTCCTATCCCTTATGAATTTGCCAAGTAAGCCTGTTGATATTTCTCCTTCAGGATTTTTATATAACCCAAACAATTTTTTCTGCTGATTAGCTGATGAGTGAGGTGCACTATGGCATTATTAAATTATTGTTTCTGCTTTCATGTGATGTGCATTCCTTACATTCTTACAATATGTGAGATTTCTGTAATGTATAGCATACATACATGACCTGGTCCCTGCTGGCCTTGATTGTTTATCATGTATACAGTTACTCACTTTTTATTTGTGAACATGGAGTATATAGTTTTTTTTTTAAACTAACATGGAGTATACAGTTGGCACACTATTCAGATTCTTTTGGTAAAGAACTCTTCATTTTGAGTTCCAATACTGCACATAATATGAATCAGTTGTGATTGATATTTATTGGAGACTACCAGATTTTATGGCTTGATTTAGATAAGTGTCTTTTATCATTCAACCATGCATTATTGGTTTTTGTTCAACTATAATGTATTGATTTCAACAACTTTGTTCCTCATCACTCTGAATTTTACCCAGTGTTGGTGGTGGCACTGGAAAAGGTGGAAAGAAGTTCTGGAACTCTTATTGGCAGTAGTATAGCTACAATCCAGAAGAGCGCTGCTCCTGAGGTAATCTTCAGAATGAATTGGCCTAGAAGCTATGAGTGAATTATCTAGTCCAAAACTGTTAAGAGCATTATCCTTTTCTATGGTACAGATGCTTCTTGCACTGATGGACGAGGCATATACTGGTTCCGCAATAGAAGAACCTAGTGGTAATTCAGGCTCTGATGATAGTGGTCCCCTAGACCTTGCTGACCCAATGTTCTTAGACCTTCTAAAAGACGAGAATGATGGCATTGCTGTAAGTAGTTTCTCCTATACAATAGTGTATATCCCCTCTGAATTCTTAGTTCTAGTGATATCTTTTTCTGTTTTCCCCTTCAGGCAAAACATTGGATATCCCCTACGGCACCTACCTCGCCGTCATGACCGTCATCTTCTTCTGGGCCATGCGCAGCACCGACTTCTTCACGGTAAAAAGCTAGGCACTAGCCACTAGCTTTATTTGCATTGCTCCGGCCGGCGGCCGATTTCTGGGCCATCAAATTCTCTTCTCTTCCAGTAAGATAAGAACCTACCTTTGTTTGCATTGCTCCGGCCGATCGACAGAACACGTTCGCCGTGAGGTCGCTGCACGGCAGCCGGGAGGAGATGATGTCGGCGCTGTACCTGCAGGTAAGCATCATCAGCCAGGTGCTCATCTTCGTCACGCGCTCCCGCAGGTTTTGATGCGTGTAGAGCAAGAGCAGAAAGTTACAGAGGATGCCCATATTTGTGCGGAGCAAGATGCTGCTACTCAAAAATATGCTGCACATATACTCCAGGTTAATTCAATTTGGGCCTCTATAATCCATGCCGTTGTGTTTGTCTGCTATGTCTTGATCTGAGTTTGGCTGTCATGTTTGCATATGAAAACAACTAATTTTTTTTATCTTCCTGCTCTTAAAAAATTGTTCCTACGGCATATATTGATATTTAAATGTAACTACGCGTTGTAATGCATATGCACCTGTATCTAGGTTGCTTCAAAAAAGTACAACAGTCTTTGCTTTGCTTACTAAGTTGGTTTTTTTCTTTTGCAGGCTAGACGTCTAAAGGTGGGAGACAAGCCACTCCTCACAGTATCAATATTTATGCAGGTAATATGACTTGCAAGATTGAAACTATGTCATGTTTATAGTTTGGATAAGATCAGTTCCTTCCTGATTTGTATCTTGAGTTTATAGTTCTTTTGGAAAACCCATATGTTGGAAATACGTGCTAGTTCTGAAGAGAATAGGACCTTGATTACCTGGCCATATGCTGTCATTTTGATGCATAATATCGTATCTGACTAGAGAGCTCATGTAAACTTCTACATAATTGTACAGTGAATCTTTTACTACTTCCTGTAGTTCATAGGTCTCAATTGATTTGCTCTGAAATATTACTATATGAATTTAGTGATCTTGTTTATCTTTAATGCTAATTGAAAAATATATGTTCTGGTCCAATTTGAATTGTAAATTTAAATTTTTTTTTGCGAAAAAATGATTTGTAGGGGCGGCTACAGTACCAACCGCCCTTACAAATCGATTTGTATGGGCAGTCTGGGAACCGCCCCTACAAACGCATGATTTGCAGAGACCCTTGTGTAGGGGCGGCTGGCCGAACCGCCCCTACAAATGCACTGTAGCCGCCCCTGGAAATGATATTTGACGTAGTGGAACTAAACTCGTGGTCACTACGTCCAACAACATAAATAGCTAGCTTCTCCATTGAGGCAATATGAAGCACTTGAAATTGTAGAGCCTCCTCCGAAGCCATATCCAATAATGTGGAAGGATGAGAGAGATCCAGAGAGATGATGCTGAGTGGCATCATGGGCTCAACGATTCCTAGGAATGGGATGCAATGGGAACATAAGGTGAAGGTAGAATCCATTTTGACTCTCGGTAGGAAGCTAATAAAGAACCAACTCCTGCTGAGTCTGATGTTGTGAACTCAACCTTCAACCAAGTCGACCCCGAGCAGTGACACCATTGTAGAGCAGCTCGTACATTCAAATCGAAGGCGAAGGACAACGGAGAGACATTGATGGTTGGAAAAGTCAAACCACGCAGAAAGGTTGAACCGTGTAGCAGCCTACGGAGACGTTGGTCCACCCTGACTGCCAGTTGATTTTTTTTGTTATAGTTTGGTTTGATATTCAGGACTGGAGCAGAAGTTAAAGCTGCCTTGTTAATGTCGTCGTGTACTCGCGGGAGGGACGAGAGCCTACCAATCTATCCTACAGTGAAAAGAGAATTTTAGGTTTAAGTACAGTCATTTTTCTAAGGGCAGTGAATGACAAGCATTTGAACTTTTAGTGCTAACACCGTAGAACAACCATGAGTGGTCATAGAGTTCGTCAGTTGGATTGATATATATTTTTGTTTATTAGAGCACGCTTTCTCCAATATATTTGGAATAATTTTTTTATAAAATAAATGTCTCTAATAATCCATAAAAAGAGTCTACAGTTATAGCTAATATATGACAAAAATGTCTCAAAAACATCACCAGAGGTTTACCCAAAATATGTGTTTCAAGTAATTTAATTAGGTGTAATGATACATTTACAAAGGGTGACAAAAATATGGAGTTGAGCACCGTTCTACTCGTTCCTTTCTAATAATACATTTGAGTGCCATTCTAACAATGCCACAAGAGTTAGAGGGAGCAGGCGAGATATGTATAGGGCTCACTTAGCGCGGAATCACGAGCTATTGTTGCTTGCTATGTTTCTTTCTCTCTCGTACGTGGAGGTCCAGTAGAGAGCCATTTACTATCATTAAGCCGGCGAGCTTTGGCCAGCTCTCAGCCCATCCACGTCACCCTGATTAATTCAGCCGTCGGATTCTTCGATCAACGTTCCTGATTCCTCCTGCCGTCTTCTACAGTACCCGCCTGGAAATATCTGCTCCCACCGCGTCCGCTGCCTCTCGAAGCCTCCCGTTGTGCCGTCTCCCTCGACCTCTCCGCGACGCTCGGCGCCCCCTCTTCCAGCCCTTCCTCTCTCCCTCCCGGCACGGCGACGCCCTCCTCCCCTCGCGTCGCCGCATGCCGGCCGGGTCAATGCTGCCAGCTGACCACACGAGCCCCTGCCGAAGCTGCAGCGCGATGCCGCGGCGGTGGCCGGCCCTCCGCGCGCCCGCCGCCACACTCCTCCTCCTCCTCCTCCAACACCACCACCACCACGCCGCTTCCTCCTCGCGACGCAAGGCAGCGGGTCGCGCGGCCTAGGGTTTGGCCCCTCCGTCGCCGGTCGTCCCCACGGCCGTGCCGCCAGCCAGCTGAGGCCCTGACGCGACGGCCGGCCGTGGCGGCGAAGGGACCTCCGTGCTGACCGTCGATGACGCCGGGGAGGTCACGTCAGCAAACTCGGCGGTCGATCTGAAGCAGGCCCCTCCCCCGTCCCTCGCGCCGGTGGGTCCCGACCTCATCGCCCAACATCGGCCCCAAGGCTTCAGCGCCGTCCAGTACTGCCTCGTGGTCTGCAGCGCCTGCCGCTCCGAGGCTACCCCATGCGGCCGGGGTCGTCGTCTCTTCGAGCCCCTCCCTGCCATGAGGTAAGTCCTTGTCGCTTGCCTCCTCTTCGACTTCCTCCTCCTCCTGTAGCCCTCAGCTTCCTATCTGGAATCCATCTGACCCTCTCATCTCATCTCTTCATAGATCCGTGATCCTCCCAAGGGAATAGCAAGGGGATGGGGTATACTTGATTGGTTCAAGCCTAAGGGACGGCATGGCCGGTCAACGACAGCGTTGTTAAATTACACTTTTCTCTACTGCAGATGTGGATGAGTTCGAGAATATAAAAAAAGGGTGAGTTTTTGTGAAACAAAGATATCAGATTTGCCTCCTGTGATGATTGATAATTTGATGTGAAGAAATAGTTGCTAAGCAAATAACTCTTCCCCATGAATCATAGGTTTAGTTCGCTCGTCGAAAGTGCGGGCATTATTTACAGCATTAGTGTATTGATTTCGTCTTCTGGGAAAAAAGGGTCTCCTTGTTTGATCCACATTGTGGACGTTGATGACCTTTATATATAATTTGCTGCTGCAATGGCACAACCATGATTTCAAATCCAAGCATTGGTACTGCATGTTGATCGATTGGTCAAATTTGAGTGATGTGTACGAATTACCTTTGAGAAATGCACTTGCATGTTGAATTGATAGGAAAGAATTATCATGTTTGTTAGTTCGATTATACTGTTGACTCTAACTGTCTGAAGCAGGTCTCATAGTAAGCAATAGTTTTATTTTTCTACCTCAACAAAAGTTTTGTACAACCATGTCTAACGGTTCAGGGAAAAGTTGTATAGATTTTTCCAAAAAAAAAAAAAAATTGTTCAAAGAACCTATGTCGGTTAATTCAGTGCCTATTTGTTTTGTCTCCACCTCCATCATCTTTGCTTCTCGCTTACAGTATGTAGCTCCAACCTTAAAATTTCATAAGACGCTCCCTGTTGCTGCTGAAATCATTGCCACAACTGTTTCCCAGAAATGATGCATGGTATAGCCCTAACATCTGCGGGCTTTGGCAAGTGGAAGGTGATCACTCAAGTGTTTTTGGTGCCTCTACTGACACATAAGTAAGTTCCATGTACGTTTTCCATCAAGACATGCTTAGGATTTTACCGTTTCAAAGTTACTACAGTATTGAATAGAGATACTAATGTTAGAACCGTGTCCTGTACAAATTTCAAGCCAGGCAGTACCTTCCATACCAGGCAACATGACATGCAGGTTGATTGGTGGGTTTACAGCTGATATGTTGCTGAATCAGGATATCTATATTATGAATCCAAATGTGTTTAATATATAATTTACTACTACAATGGCGCAACCATGATTTGATTTAGACCATAAAGCATCGGCACTGTGAAAGCCATCTCAGGTGCATTCTTTCCTTGCCTACAATTATCACAACCTTTTTGGATTATTTTTCTATTGTTCTTACATACCATATGACGAGCTATGATGATTGGTATACCAAAAGAAGATCTACTATACCAACATAGTAAACATCTGTATATTAGAAATTGTCGGCACCACCACCTTAATAGAGTTAGTAATCTATGGTTTTGTCTACGGTTCTATGTTCTCATGCATAATCAAGTTCAGATCACAGTGTTTGGTCATGCCCATTATTTGTTAAATATTTTATACTTCTTTCTCCTTGCAGGAATTTTCAGTGGTTGGTTAAAACATGTGTATCCTTCCAAATCCTTCTAGGCAGGATTTTTATTCAATGTGTTCCAAATATTCACTTGATTTCACTTATCTGAAAGCTAACTTCATTTGCAGGTTCCAAGGCTCAAGACCTATTATGACTATGCCAAAAAGAGGTTGAGTATTGCAGAGAAAATGGGTTTGATCCCCTTCAGCCCCACAAAGGTATGCAAATTTTTACAGTAATCATGTCAGATTACATAATTATTATTCATGATGAAGATTAGACATGCCCATGGGTTCTAACAAAATCTGTATAACCTTCAATTTTATATGCCAGACCTATGCGCGTGATTTGCCGGCGCGTGCGATGGCGCGTGTGATGGACTAGTATATATCAATCTCGTTGTGGATGCCCTAACGTAGCAAATTTAAGTGTGGTAGGTCATAATTGTTAAAGCACTAGTACAACGTTGAGTTAGGGTCAGAACGGGTGTGAAGCGTTATATATATCCAACAAATGAAAATGACTAACCAGCTCGTATATAAATAAGCACTACAGTTTTTACTTGTAACATATCTTACCGTCATTAGTAGCATTGGTAGTTGCTGATAGTATAGAAGCTCGTTGCCAACAACTTTCTTGGTCGCTGCAGGAGAAATGCCACATAATCTACAGGAGCCAAAAGTTGAACCAACAACTTTCTTGTGTGGGCTGCATAGTAGAATAATCGATCTGCTGTTGGGATTAGGACGCATGAGGAATATGGGCGGCACTGGCTGTGTGTCTCTTGGAGCGGGGTTCAGTACTTGGGTGCCATGTTAACGTTGGTTCTTGTGCACATTTTGGCGCGACAACCGCCAATTCTGTGCCAGCAATTAGTGAGCAAGGTTGGAGTCACTAGTGGCACCACTGCATCGGAGAATCACTACTGGAGGCGGACTCTTTGCCAAGTGGCTGTTGCACTCGGCAAAGGCAGCTTTGCAATGAGTGCAACACTTGGCAAAGAGCCTCCGTCGAATCCCCTTCCGGTAAAGGCTGCTTTGCCGAGTGCTAAATTTCGGGCACTCGGCAAAGGTTTGACGCCGTCGGCCGACGGCCGACGCCGTCTAATTTTTTTTTAAACCTCTTTGCCGAGTGCCACAGCTCCGGCACTCGGCAAAGAAATTTGTTTTTTTAAATCTCTTTGCCGAGTGCCACAGCACCGGCACTCGGCAAAGGGTGTTTTTTAATTTTTTTTTAAAAAAAATTTCTTTGCCGAGTGCAATGACCATTGCACTCGGCATCCGAGTGCAATAGTCATTGTATTCGGTAAAGCCACCTCTAAATTTCTTTTTTTTTTGTTTTTTGCTTTTCCATTTAAACAACAATGCATATATATATAATAGAAACCACAATTCAACATCAATAAATTACAAACCACATTTATATATTACAAACGACCAAATTTGTCCGAAATCCACAATTTATTACAAGCCACAAGTTCATAGTCCACAAGTTCACAAGTTCGATACATAGAAACTACTCCGCAAGCGGCTCACGGCGACTGCGCCCCAGCGTGCGATCCCGGCGACGGTTCGGGTGCGGATGGCCCGACTTGCGATGACGGCGACCCTCCGACCTGGTTCGACGCCGCCCCCGATGTCCACTGCACAAAAAAGAAGATATTGCACATGAGTGATAAGATAAAAATGTAAGGAGTTTAAAGAAAAGTTGAAAATTTCGGTGTCCATGAGTGTTTCCCAAAGTGCTTCGGCGACATTCTTCTCAGTGTGCATTACATCTATGTTATGTGGAAGGAGAATGTCATCAAAATAGGGAAGCCTCTCCAATCCCGACTTATGAGTCCACATATGTTCCACACCATAGCCCACAAAGCGATCTTTGTTTGGATTATCTTTCTTTGGATTAACTTTCTTTCTTTTACCCTTCTTTGGATTATCTTTCTGCGCCGGGAGCACGAGAGCATCTATCTGAGCATGAACCTGGGCACTAGTCATCTTCTGAGGTG